CTGGAGATACCTTGTTCTGGAGTCAAGGTGCAACCAGGTAAAGAGGTCCCGAAGCATTTATGGCTCTATATTTTAGAATCATCACCTTGAAGCTGGCATGCTACATTTCTAAGCTTTGGAAAAGTCATTCCCCATTTTACAATGGACTGCTACTAACAGCCGCCCTTCCAGGTGGATAGAGGCCGTCCACTTGTGATAGTGTGTTGCACCAAGAGGATGTCTGCAATCCGACGATGATAAAGATTTGCATCTGATCATACTGAGAAGAGTCGCTCTGTTGAGAGCCATCTCTCTTAAAGCAACCATTCTGGGAATACAGGAATAGCTTCAGAGCAGGGCTGGGATGGTTTGCAATCTGCTGAATGTTGTCTAATTGCTGGAATATAGCTCCCACTGCTCCATGCCCTGAGCGGTCCAAAAGGTGAGCTGTTTCTCTGTCTCATCACATTCTGAGTCCTGCTTAGAGTTAACCCATAAAAATCCTTGGAATCTGGCTACAGGCATACGTCTAGAACGGTAAGGACCATCACAAACCAAAAATAGTCAAACTATTCTAACATTTTAATTTGTTTTTCATGTTTATCTATCTGTGATATGCATCCGTAGTTTTCAATTGTGCTCTGGGATAAATAATGCCAATTGTGAAATGCAGTCACATGGTGAATATTTAAATCAAAGGTAGCTTTATGTAAAATCCCAAAGTCAAATGTTAGAAAAGCAGTCAAAGATTCAAAGCTCTCAGGGCAGAACCTGGCAATATCACCAAGTGGATTGCCACTAACAATCGCAAAGTGTTGTGTGTATATGACAAACAGAAAATGTTGACACTATGATAAATTTAAGGGCTAACATGGCCACCCAAAATATACGCATGACTTTAAGCATCTCTGGGGAGTATCTCTCGAAGCCCTGAAACTGAATCCCCAGATGCTAGTTTAAAAACATTCATTGCATGAAATTTCTGATCCCAAGGATGAAGCATGGGGAAAGGACCTCAAAACTGGAGTTTTAGGGTGAAAATCTGGGATGTGAGGCCAACTTGCTACGTGGGACAAGTGGAGGGGCTGAATTTCCCAGGGAAATTAAAAGTAGAAGAAGGCTTACTTGATTGTATGAAGATGTTTCCGGCCAACAGGAAGATCAGAAGTGGCGTCATCGTTGGTAAGCAAATCTGTCTTGCAGGGAATGGAGCATCCTTCTTGATACGGCTTATATATATCTCCTGAAAAATAACTGTTCGACTATGTGAGGCTAAGATAATTTACCACTCCCTACAGGAGCTATATAGGTCATCCAGATCATGCCAGCAATGCTCCACCTTTACAACACTTCCATCTGAACAGTGTTTTTCTCTGATCTTTATAGGAACTGTAATGTGGTGGAACCAAGCAGCCAAAGAATGGGGAAGACCCGGCTCTCGCGAATGGCCTCTGCCTCCTGGAACTGGGTGTGGCGAGGTGTCTCCTGCTCAAATAGTAAAGCCATGACAGGCATCTGCTTCTCCAGATCAGACCGTTCAAGCAGAACGAAACACGGTCCCCTTTGGTTTCAATGCTTGCAAACAGAGATAGGCGTGAACCGGGAAAAAACAAGGAATCGGGCTGGTTTGTGGTTCATCGTGAGGCACAACCCACCATGAACCCCCAGAAAAATGAACTGGTTCCCTCCCCAGAAAGATTAGGACCAGATGCACCAAATGGCCCTTGACAATGGGTGGAGAAGGACTGCAGAAGTGGGATTATCCCTCACCCCCAGAGTCCTTTGTCCTTCTACTGAGCCCTTTCAGGCCAGGGGGAAGTGTGTGGAGGAAATATCAGGGGGGACCTACCTGCTCCTGCCTTCCACTGCTTGCCCCCTTCCCAATGCTCCCATTGCCTTCCTAATGGGCCCCGATTCCTCCTCCATGTCCACTAGTGCCATCCTCACGGGGAACGGGTGCAAAATGAAGTGCCCAGGGGAAAAAAAAGTTCAGCGCTTCGTATCGTTGAGGGAAAACAAGATCCCCGAACTGATTTGCGAAACAAACCACGAATCAGCCCGATGGGTTGGTTTTTCTGGTGTGTGGTTCGTTTTGTGCCCATCTCTATTTGCAAACGATGACTCTTACGAATGTTCTACTCCCGCATACCTAGGCCCTGAAAAAGGTTCAACCATGTGGGGCTGAAAGAATCATCTGCCACACCCTGTGGGAGTTCTAGCTCCTTCAGATCACATCAGTCACCGTGTCCACAAAACAAGACTCCTGTGTGCATTTTAATCTGGACAGTGACCTGTATGGGAAACTGTAAGGTGGTGGAGCTAAGCAGCTGATGAATGGGGTGGAGCTGGCTTTCATGAATGGCCCTCTGCCTCCTGGGACTGGGTGTGGCGAGGTGTCTCCTGCTCAAATAGTAAAGCCATGACAGGCATCTGCTTCTCCAAATCAGACCATTCAAGCACAATGAAACACGGTCCCTTGGTTTCAGTGTCTGCAAACTACAAATTTTACGATGCCCTAACTGGGAACAGATGAAACCGTTCATTTGTCTATATTGTATCGATTATTTACATTTGGGTCCTATTATTGTACTATTTTCTCTTTATATTTTGTTTTATTGCACTGTGCAAAACCGCCCAGAGTGGCCTGGGTTTCCAGGTGGGCGATATAGAAATTAAACAAACAAACAAATAAAGCTGAGGGCATCTAAGCCATCATGAATTAAGTCCTTGTTGTATCTGCCCAAGCCTATTAATTATTTTGTGAGACCTCAGCCCCTCCCAAATAAATTCCACATTATCATTCTTTTCATGTATTCGCATGAATCATGAAATAAAACCTGGTGCTCTAATTCTGAAATCATGACTATGTTTTTTTGCATTTCTAAATTTACACTCTGGCCAAATCTGGATATATGTTAAACAAAAACAATGGCTATCTATATTTCATAAAGGTGGGGAAAGTTACTCCGTTTTGGCCTCCAGGTCCAAAGGACAGAGCCCTATTAGCAACGGTGGAAGTGATCTGCAAAGGATGAGTTCCAGGATGGCTCCTGGGATTTCTGTCTTGCCCTTTTGAAAGGCATCTACCATCCTTCCTTCCTTGTTTCTCCCTGTCTTTCCTTCCTTCCTTCCTTCCTTCCTAAAGAATCCTATACCTCAAAGACAGCAATATTGGCTGAGTTATTCTGGATTTTCCTTTCAAACATAGTTTGCTGACTCCACTGTCCCTTTTTGATTGTTTCTAATAAAGAAACTACGGTACTTTGTCTATATGAAACGGTATGTTTTTAAACATGGTAATTGATTTTTAATGTCTGCTAGCCTCTTTTAATTCCCTTCACCTAACCCATTAAATTTGGGGCTGTTTGATTCATATGTGTAGCCCGACATGAGTTCTACTTATGAGTAATTCTATTTCCTAAATCCTAGAGCAAAATTAGCTCCACCTATCCAAGATTTAATGACCCTGATTATTAGAGTCTTTTGTCCCACTGTCCTGCCTCCATTTATTTATTTACCTGTATTTGATTTTTATATCGCCCCTCTGGCTGCCAAGGCCACTCTGGGTGGTTTACAAAACAGGGTAAAACAGTAACACAACAATGACAATAATCACCAACCACAAACAAAATAGAAAAGGAATGAAACGAATTGCACTAAGAAACCAGATGACTAAAGGACTGGTGGTCGCGCAAGGGTGTCCCCCAGGGAAGCGCCGATCCTTCGGTCTCTTGGAGGAGGCCCTTGTGCAGGCGTTAAGCATCAATCTGCACGTGGGAGATGGGGGTCTCTGGGGTCAACAGGGACAAGCCAGATCCATTCCATGGATTTAGAAACAGGTTCTTCCAGTCAAATCATAGACAAAAGGCAAAAGACTAGAAGAAACTACGCTTAAACTCCACCACCTCCACAACTAATCTCTTGTGCATGTTCATGCCATCGGCTGTGGATTGCTCCAAGCGCCATCCCAGCAGCCAGTGAAAAGGTACGGGGATGGAAAAGTTACTTTCTTGACTGCTGGCGTCCTGCTGTGGGATCCTTCCAGATGAACGGTCAGAAGAATCCTTTGAACGTAAGTTAAGGTGGGGGAACTCAACGTGGTGAACTGTCACTAACTAACCACAGGCTGGCCAGTCACGGGCTCTCCTCCAGGTGTGCGACAGGTGTGCACCTCAAAATGCAGCTGCTGCCCAGGAATTGTTAGTTACACCGTTTAATTTAGAATGACCTTCTAGCCAATGCTAGATCCTGAAAAGCAGCCCCCACCCAGAGCCCTCCAAGTGTGTCTGAAACCCATTGCAACAGGGTTCTGTCAAGACGGTTGGCTTGCTAGCCTTATGGCTGAAGTGCAGGCGGAGAGATGAGATGAGGGGAGGTTTCAGCTGAATACGTGAAAGATCAACCCCTGTCCACCCCGGATGTTAATTAGCATCGAGGAGATCTCTAATTGCATGCAGGGTTTTCCAGGTAAAGAACACACAGAAGTGTTTCCCCTTGCCCTTCTTCTGGGGGGCCCCCCTGGCACGGTGCAGCTGGCCCAAGGCCACCCTGGCTGGCTTTACTCACAGGAGTCACAGTGGGGAATCGAACTACCAACCTCTGGCTCTGCAAAGAGAGGCCTAAAAGGAAGACGAGGAATACAATTCTCTAATGAGCTGCCCTATCCTGCCTGGTTCTGAGATTTTTTTCTTACAGGCACTGTAGTGAAACTGCAGTCCTGCAGTTGAGCCTCTGTTCACAACCTGAGTTTGATCCCAACGGGTTCAGGTAGCTGGCTCTAGGTTCACTCAGCCTTCCGTCCTTCCAAGGTCAATCAACTGAGTACCCATCTTGCTGGTTGGCGGGCAGGGGAGCAATTGGGTCGCCTGCATAATTAAATTGCAAATCACCCAGAGAGCGCTTCAAGCACCGTGGGGTGGCCTATAAGCAGTACACTTTGCTTTTTAGTTCTTTACGGCGAAGGGAGAGGCTCATCCAGGAACTACCAATATCGGAAAAGCAGAGGCTGCTTCTCCAACTCCAATCGGGGGCAAACCTCAGGAGCTCAACTTACTTCGTACACATTGCCCAGGCTTGTCTGTCTCTCCCTGGGGGTCTTCCTTGGGCTCGGTTTTGGTTGGCTAAGCTGCAGCCGGCTCGATCTGACAGTGCTGGGTGGCAGGGGTCATAAAAATACTGGCTCATGGGTCATCAAGTTTTAGGACAGGGTTGCCTGTTGCCTTTGGTCTGCGTATCATCTATAAGAAAAGAAAGAAAAAGATAAGAGATCTTTCAACCCTACTCTTGGGGAGGTTGGCCATTGGCGGCTCATGACCAGAGTGAGGGAGGAGACCCTGATTTGGCCCACACTTGATCCACACTGCTTTGGGGAGTGGTGTAACAGGGTACTCTTTCACATTCACCCCAGCAAGTAAGCCCAAACATGTAGGCCCTTGGATTGGGTCTATTTCTTAATTGCCTATCCGAGACCAGGTAAAGGTAAAGGTTCCCCTTGACATTGAGTCCAGTCATGTCCGACTCTAGGGCGCGGCGCTCATCCCCGTCTCCAAGCTGTAGAGCCAGCGTTTGTCCGTAGACTGTTTCCATGGTCACGTGGCCAGTGCGACTAGACACAGAACTCCATGACCTTCCCGCCGAGGTGGTCCCTATTGATCGACTCACATTTTTACATGCTTTCGAACGGCTAGGTTGGTGAGGAGCTGGGACAAGCGACGGGAGCTCACTCCATTGCGTGGATTCGATCTTCCGACGGCTGGTCTTCTGACCTTGCAGTGCAGAGGCTTCTGCGGTTTAACCCGCAGCGCCACCACATCCCTTCTGAGACCAGCCCACCCTCAAACACTTTGGCTCACCACAGGAATCCCTTGCAACCGAATTTCTTCCCCTACCTACTGGGTGAATGGCAGCCGTGCTGGGAGCCAGCGGTGAAGTCTGAGAAAGGGGCCGGGTCACGGCAGAATCCCTGCTACCAAGATGTGACAGGTGCTTCAAAGCGGTGAACCCCGGCTCCATGACAGCACCGTCCCTGGAGGTCTGCCACGTCATCAGCTGGAATGAAGTGACCATCTTGGGTGGTAGATGCTGGCCAGGGGCAGTGGTGGGGGGAAGCCCCCCAGCTGTTCCTCCTGGACATCAATTTATTCTCCATTGCACCTGAGGGTCGGACAAGAACCCACAGGTGGCAGCAACTCATGAGAGGGAGATCCAAGCTGGAAATAAGGGGGAATTTCCAGACGGCGAGAACCATGAAGCGGTGGAAGAGCTTGCCTCCCGATGGGGTGGTTGCCCCATGGCTGGAGGTTTGCAAGAAAAGATGGGACAGCCATCCGTCCGGGAGGGTATGAGGTCCAGGATGGTGTGAGGTCTCCTGACTTGGGCAAGGGGGTTGGACTAGAAGACCTTCAAAGGTCCCTTCCAACCCTACGGCGATTCTGTGATTCTATGACTTTCTGCCTGTTGCTTTTCGTTGCCAGAGAGAGTCATGCAGGGCTTGTGACTCATCCTCACCTGTGTGGTGGAGGACATTGTGTCATGGTTTGCATGCAAGCGAACACCGCCCTGGCTCAGCCGGCTTCTGCGTGCGGAAGAGGGGTGGCACCATTTGCTCTTGAACCTCCAGCATCAAAACCTCTGGAGCCGTTCTTTTTCTCTAGGCCTTGTGCTTGGAAACTCAGGCACTGACTTTCTCTGTGGATAGACCGTTTGACAAGCAGGGTGACACCCAGCAGGTGAGAGACTTTCCCACTGCTGTGAAGGAGGAAATCAGACCTTTACCACTTCTAAGTTCTACTAGGTTCGGTAGAAGAGCCAGGGGATAATAGAGTCTTCTCTTAACATGGATCCATTCCTTAGAATGAATATGTACATTACTGATTGTTGGAGTTATGGTTTTTTTTTAAAAAACTACCTCCCATGCTTCCTATACAGTGGGGTCTTGACTTGAGAACTTAATCCGTATTGGATCTGTGGATAGACCGTTTGACAAGCAGGGTGACACCCAGCAGGTGAGAGACTTTCCCACTGCTGTGAAGGAGGAAATCAGACCTTTACCACTTCTAAGTTCTACTAGGTTCGGTAGAAGAGCCAGGGGATAATAGAGTCTTCTCTTAACATGGATCCATTCCTTAGAATGAATATCTACATTACTTATTGTTGGAGTTATGTTTTTTTATAAAACTATCTCCCATGCTTCCTATAGTTCGTTTGGGAGGGACCTTTTCTGGACTGGGGTGGCTGTCAATCTATCCAGCATTAACCAATCATTCCCTCCTGCCTCTGCATTCAGAAAAAGCCCCGCCTCTCTATTGAGTGTTCCTTTCCTTCTCTTTAGTCTGTTGAATGTGTTTGTTTGCTGTTGATCTGTTCGCTGCCTGAAGTCATGAAAGGTTTTTATTTGTTTTCTCCTACACACGTTTCAGAGTAAGTTATTGAGGCTTTATAAGTGCCAATTAAAGAGAAAGGGGTGGGCTATTTATGGAACTTGTATAAAGTTCCATAACTTGTATTCTCCTCTGTGGGTCTCTGCACTTCTGCTGTGTAGCAAAAGGACATTTTCCAGAAATCCAAAAACTCTGCAACACTAACTTGATGTATTATTCCATTTTTAATTTTTTATTAGAAATCTTAATATTTTTAAAATTCGAAATATTTGCTTACCGTACAGCTAGGGTGCTGTTAGGGACGTGGTGGCGCTGCGGGCTAAACCACAGAAGCCTGTGCTGCAGGGTCAGAAGACCAAGCAGTCGTAAGATCGAATCCACGTGACGGAGTGAGCGCCCGTCGCTTGTCCCAGCTCCCGCCAACCTAGCGGTTCGAAAGCATGCAAATGCAAGTAGATAAATAGGGACCACCTCGGTGAGAAGGTAACAGCATTCCGTGTCTAAGTCACACTGGCCATGTGACCACGGAAAGATTGTCTTCGGACAAACGCTGGCTCTATGGCTTGGAAACAGGGATGAGCACCGCCCCCTAGAGTCGAACACGACTGGACAAAAATTGTCAAGGGGAACCTTTACCTTTACCTTTACCTTTAGAGTGCTGTTGGTGCGGTTTACTATCACGAAGCAAATGGAAACCAATAGACAGCAGCTGTAAAGAAACACAGATAAATAACAAACATGGCCATCCATAAAATGGCACAACAATTTTGGTTTTATAAATGTTAGGATGAAAGCAGCTGAAACAAAATCAAAGATGTTCAAGTATTAAAGACATTAATACTGTCTCTTTAATATGATGAGATTAAAGTGATTTTAAAATGCTAATGACTTTCAGGCACTAGCAATAGATGCTAACCTCCGGCTATAAAAATCAAGGACGGAATCGCTGCAGGAAGAGAAAGGTCTTAAGGTGGCAACTCAACTAACAAAAGGAAAAGGTTCGTTTTATTTTCCCATGACTCATTAATATGCATTTCCTTCTTGCTACGATTTTCACAATACCTTCCGATCAACCATCCATGGCCCAACAATGAATATATAGGAGCCAACCATATATGGACACCAGTGGCTTCAAACCCAGATCCAGGAGGGAGGGTTTATCCCTGTCACAATGCAAGCCTCATCTCACCTCCCCCCCCCCCATGTGCATCATCATAATGCTGTATGCCCTTCCAGGTCATAATGCAAGTGAACTTTCTCCGTGCTGTGGTAACCTTAACCACGACCTACCGGAACATCAAATGTTCTATTAAATCTGCTGGTTCAAAAAGAGCACATATAGGCGTAGCTGACTTTTTAAAACCAAAAAGACAGAAAGAAGGAAGAAAAGGGTGGGAGTCTGGAACATATACCCATTTGAAGTCTGAACCTTTTGTTTTCGACCCTTCCTCCCCTACGTTTAAAGTTTTTGACCTCTAAGAAAGAAATCAGTGAAGATTGCCATCTGCGGGTAGTTCACACACACACCTGTCCATCCTAGAACACCGGGGTTCGGCTTGCTTGTGAATGGATTAACCCGGGTTTTCCTACCTCCTCCGACAGCATGCTTTCCCCTGGAGCTCTTTTACGAGCAGGCCAGTTCCCTGAAATCAAGCGTAACATGATTAAGGGCAGAGACAATAAGTGGCTGTTTTGGGCATTTCCGTCAGCCTCTTTGGCTTATGAAAGGAAGAGTCAAAGCGGGCGCATCAACCCCTCGTTTCCTCACGATGGCACCCTTGCCACACGAATGGGTGTAGCTGGATCTTGGCTGGAGTTCAATGGAACTGCTCAGAACTTTGGAAAAGTTACATTTTTAAAAACGACATGGCTCAGAAGGATATCTATGGATGCCCATGTGTGAATCCGACCCGGAATTCTGTTGTGCGTTCCCCTGAGAAAAAAAGAGATCATTTTCCTTTTGCAATGCTTATTAGGCTTGGCCCTGTAGAAACCCTGTCTGCCTCTACTTCCTCCCCGGGTCGGATGCTTCGACAAATTGTTCTAGCGTACGGTTTGCTTTTAGGCTCTGGTCACACAACGGGAATGTTCTCTAGTTATGCCCCCCAGTTACTTCATTGCTTCTCCTGGTTACATGATGCAGAGTCAAGACCGAAACATTTTCCCGGCTAGCGATGTAACTGCAGAACATTTCCCCATCGTGGGGAGGGTTGTGTTATTTTGCACGCTTGTTGTACAGCATTCCTTACCGGGATTGCCTGTGTGCACCACCTGCCCTGGCTGCCGTTACTGCAGCATGCACATTTTTAAAAACTTTTTTTGGTGCCTGATACATTGATACATTGGTAAAAGTATGTCACTTGCGGGCCTCCGCCATTACATTACTGGCAAGTAATAATTCCCCCCCCCCATGGGAAGATACACTGAAATGTTGGGATGCCAATATCACTCTGAGTGTGTACGTGTGTGTGAGAGAGATCACCAGTACCGCTGCATGGATTTCCCATGTCCAGTGTGCGCAATGCATTTCTGCAGGAGCAGTCAGTGCAACAGATGGACAATTTCCTAAACAAAACCCTCTCCTCAATCAACGTTCCCTCTAATTCATAAAAATTTTAAAAAACAATTTGAAAAATCATTTTTAAATTGCGGTTTTAATATTGATCATTTATAAAAATATATATATTTTTAACGGAATGTTTAAATTTGCGATTGTTGTCGGACACGACTGGACTCAATGTCAAGGGGAACCTTTACCTTTACCTTAGTTACAAAGCCCTGTTCGTGTTTCTTGACTTCTATGTTCTTTTTGACTTGCGGACTGAGATAAACTGGAGACGGTACGGTCAGCTAAATTTTTTTGCAGCCACAGTTAAAATTAGGCCAAATAGGATTTCAAAATAGTAATCTTTTCTAGGTCTAACTTTCCTAATTTGGGGCAGTATATCTAGGCATTCATTACCTTGATTTGAATAGGTTGATTTTCTCTGTAAATTCTATACATTTCTTGCTAAGGCCTTGGGCTAATGCAAATCAAAGGCTACTTTATATTCCATAACTAGAAAATTCTGGAAAGGTTCACCCGGTCCTTTTGGGGGAGAAAGGCAGGATAGAAATCTTTTAAATCAATCAATCCATGTCAAGGAATACTCTCACGCCATACCAGAACCCGGGGGGGGGGGACACCCACTCCAATCGAGGGTTGGGAGAGAGAGAACAGACAAAAGAAAAGATTTCTTGACCCAGTGTGTGGTTAGTCTGTGGAACCCCTTGCCACAGGATGTGGTTGATGGCATCTGGCCTAGATGCCTTTAAAAAAGGGATGGGACAGATTCCTGGAGGAAAAGTCCATTGCCAGTGACAAGCCATGATGGGGATGTATATGATCTCCAGGCTTTTAAAAGGAAGGGACCTACAAATGCCAGATGCAAGGGAGGGGTATCAGGAGACAGGTATATCTCGTGGTCTCTCGTGGGCACCCAGAGGCATCTGGTGGGGCCCCTGTAAGATACAGGAAGCTGGATGAGAGGGGTCCCTGGCCTGATCCAGTACAGGGCTCTTCTGAGGTCAGAATTAACTTGATGGCATGCAATTATTTTTAAGTATGGCAGTGCTGCCATTCTTGTAAACATGACAGTCTTCTTTGGCCCCTGTGGATGTAATTGTCCTTGTTTTTCCAGTCTGCGAAGCCTCGTTGTCATGCATTTTGGAAGTCTTTGCTTTTGGGGCGTTTGGGTTTCAAAATGCTTGGTTTTACTGTGCTTCCTTCTCTGTTGCAGTAACAGGACGGTGGGTGAGCCTGGAAAAAAAAGAGAGGGTTGGTGCTTACCCACTAGGGGGCACTGTTACCCTTCCATTCCTGCCTCGGCACCCCCCTTTGGCCCGTGCAGCTCAGGCTGTCAGGCGGGCTTCCAGGCTGGTTGCAAACCTTGGCAGCTTTTGCACATCAAAAAGGCATTTGACATTTTTGTCATTTTGGTAATTAGCTGCACTCCTTTGGGCTGCCAGAAAAAAGAGTGAGGGGGGAAATCCTGTGTGCAAACTCTCTGCTACCTTCAGGGAGAGGGGGCTTCTGTCCTCTTTCTGCACCCATGCTTGCCATGCGCTGCCGCTCCTTTGAAAGATATGAGAAGAGGGAGAAGGCAAGCCAGCGAAACAAAGGATGGGCAGGCGCCCCTCACCATGCCAGGCGCAGTCCCTGTGGAAAGAAAACAATGGCTGAATAAAAGTTTTTCTTATGCGCGGGCAAACCGACTTCGATGTGCAGGGGCCCTATTCATGCACGGCCTTCCCAGAAGGTTCTGTCGCCAACGTGCCTTTCGCTCAGCTCTTGCAAACTCATGGTGGTGGCTCCCTTCTTTCAGTGAGTCCATCTCGTGTTTTGGTTTTCCTCTTTTCCTACTGCTTTCTGTTTTCTCAACAGGGCCCCCTAGTGGGCATGATGGTCTTTTCCAGAGAATCTGGTCTTCTCACGAGGTGCCCAAAGGACAACCGCCTGAGGTTCCAACTGAGAGCAACGCTTTCGGGAGGGCAGCCTCGGGACTCCCAGCAGGGCCATTCAAGGTGGAACAGTCACAGCTGAAGCACCGGGCTAAGAGTCAACCCGCTTCGTCAGGAGTAACAGCCACATCGGAAAAAAAGAGTAGAGATCATGGCAATGAGGGTGGAGAAAGTTCTGGAAGGCAGCCACTGGGCAGCAGCTGTAGCTGAAGGTGACCCTGGTAGAGAACCTTTCACAGACCACGGCAGAGTGAACCTCAAGCTAACTCTGGTTAGTACTGGGCAGAAGTAGGGAATGGCAAACCACTGCTTGAAAAGCTGACAGTGAGGCAGTTGAGAATAACATATTGGAAGATACTTGCAAACTATCTTCTGATTTGTTAATGTTAATATAATATAATCTTAGCAGAGCTGGGGACCTTATGGATCATTGAGTCCAGCCCCTGACGAGGAGGCCCAGTACAGGATTTGAACTCCCAACCTCTTGGTACAATGTGCTATTGAAATGCAGAAGAGTGGTGTTTCATTCACTTCAATGGGGCAAGCACAGGAGAAAGTCCCATAATATGATGTTAGAGGAGCTTCCCATGTCGTCCTGCTTTTCAAACCAACCAATCAACCAACCAACCAACCAACCAACCAACCAACCAACCAACTAACCAACCAACCAACCAACCAACCAACCAACCAACAGCTAGCCAGCTAACCGAATAATGAGTACTGGAGCTTAGATGTTTGTGTCATGGAGCCCAACAGAAAGTGGAAGGCTGTGTTTCACTGAGGGGGGGGGAGCCTTCTGAGAAATGTCATTCAGAAGGTCTGAAAAATGAAACAAACATATTTCTCCCATTCAGATTAATGGCTGGAAGCTTTCCCTCATTCTGAGGAAGCTCTCATGCAGGAAATGCTCCAGGACTGGGACAGTCACATTATTGCATTATTTTCTGTTGACTGACGGGTGCACAAGTCAATGTGAATCAGCTGATAGTCCCCCTCCCCAACTGCAGCCAAATCTTTACTTTTTTCTTTCACTGCTGGGGCTTCTACTCCCCCCCCCATCAAACGCTTTTGCATTGCTGAAGGCCGTGTGATTGCTGGAGCCCATACAGTTTCAAGGCTGAAGGGGCAAACCGAAGGTGACTCTCACAGCTTCCTAGTTCAAGGGTGGGAGAGGAAGCAAAGAGGCAGTCTTGAGGGTGTCGGTTCCCTCAACTGAGCACCCCTTGTTTCCAAATCATTTTTTAATGATATAAGTCATTAGGGCACAGTAAGGTCACCAAAGAGTGGGAAAGGAAGGAGGGGTCAGTAGAGTGTGCGGAGGAAATTGCTGGAGTTATTTCAATCTTGCAGGCTGCCTTTAGTAGGTTTTGGCTGAGGGGGGGGGACACCTTTCTGGGCTGGGCTGGCTGTCAATCAATCAATCCATCCATCCATCAATCCAGCAGGAAACTATAATTCTTCTTTGCCTCTGATTTCAAAGAGAGCCACGCCTCTCTGCTTAAGTGTCCTTTCCCCTCTCTTTTGAGTCTGAAGGCAGTTAAGGCAGTTAGTTTGCAGTTAGAAGACAATTTGCAAGAATCTGCTGGAAGCACTCGGAGTCGCTTGCTGAGGCCTGTTGCTGTAAGCAGTCAATCTTCTACAGTGTGCTGTTTTTGATCTTTTCAGAACCGTGAATAAATGAAATATTT